AAATGAATGAATAAAGTGTATAAAATATGATTATTATCACAGGCCCAAGGGCCCTTGTTGTCATTTTTGTTGGGAACGAAAGTATAATTTTACCCCTCTCAAAACAAACCAAGCACTATTTGATCTTTTTCCTCCTCTCCTCTTCCTCTCTCTTCCTCCTTGTCTTCCTCTTACTCCTCATAGCATTGCATTGCAGTTCCAAAATTCTTCCATTCCTTCCTCTGTCTTTTCGATCTATCCATCCTTTTTGCGATGAGCCAACATATATGATGACTCCCTATATTTTTATATATTTTGAGGAGTTTTATTGATCTTTTAGAGAGTAATCTAGTTATTTTTTTACTTTTCTTGTGTTTAGTGTTTATTTTGGTGTTAGATAGCTTGTTTTGTAAATATTGTATTTTGATTTTGTTTTAGAGTATTTTCTTTTGTTAATTTAAGTTATTTTAGAATTTACTACAAGAGCTTGGAAGAGGTGGAGAAGGAAAATATAAGGAATTTAGTGAAGAAATTGAATTTTTATGATCACCCGTTACAATAGATTAGTATTAGAAGGAAAATCCTGAACTAAAAATAAAGCCCACTACAGCGGGTGCTATAGTAGATTTCGCACCCAATCTTGGAGGAAGAGGATTCATTCACATTTTGTGATTTCTTCTAGTTTAATCTTGTTTTTCTCCTTCTTCCCCAATGTTTCTGGTTTTGCTTCTTCATTAGTTCATTTTATTGTTGTGGGATTGAGTTTACTAATGTATAGGTAGATTTTCTTCATGACTTAAGCAACTATGAACTTTTTTATGTATTAGATACTATTTTCTCCAATTATTCTATGATTAATGTTAGTTTTGGGTTACTTAATCTCATTTATTGTGACTTGCTTGATGATTGGCCATCATTGAGTTGAGATTTAGCGGTTTAGGATTTATCTTGGAAAAGAAAATCTTAAATGGACCTTGAGATTAGGTAATATGGGATTAGAATTTATTCTAATTTTCCATTAGGATAGGAATATACCTCTTGGACCTATATAATCATATTAGAGTGTAATTGAATTTTTAATGCCTCTTGGATAATTGTGTTAACATTTGCATTATTATTTAAGAAAGGGTTGTAATTGATTTGGAAGCCAATTTCAAGTAATTAGACTCTAAATTAACCAATCAAAAATTAATCTTAGGTAATTTGGAGACAATAAATTCTAAGAAGTAAACAAGGGAGTAGGAGCTTAGGTAATCTCTTTTATGAAATTGTTGTTTGGTGGAATTATTTGCTGTTGAATCTCAATTGTTAATTTTTTTCTCATTTATAAACTCTCACGTTTGATTCCTTGACTTGAATGAAATTAAAAATTTGATGCCTATTTGCCATTGTGTTTAATTCTCTATAGGATCGACCTTGACACATTACTATATCTCATATTAACCCACATACTTGCGGTGTTCATTTAATTTTTGTGTGCATCAATATAAGAGCTAGGTTCTACACATCTCGATCTCGCTGCCTTGACTGTCGTCCCTAAACAACTTTTGCATATCACTTTTCCTAAATAAATAGCAATTGTTTTGAGATGAGCATTGGTGAGCTCCTTGGCATCAAACCTCTAGAACTCAAGTTTCCTAGAAACATGCATCTAAATGAAAGATGAATAGATCTAGAATAAAACTTACATGGAAATTTGAGTTACAAAGGTTTGATGTTAAGGAGCTCACCAGTGCTTATCTCAAAACAATGGCTATTGATCTAGGAAAAGTGATCTGCAAAAGTTGTTTGAGGACAATAGTAAAGGCAATGAGATCGAGATGTGCAGAACCTAACTCTTGTATGTTGGCTCATTACAAGGATGGATAGATCGAGAAGACGAAGGAGGTAATAGAAGAATTGTGGAGTTGTAATGTAATGCTGTGAGGAGGTAGAGGATGACAAAGAGGAAGAGAAAAAAGGAAGAGAGAGAGGAAGAAGATCAAATCGTGCTTGCTTGTTTTAAAAGGGGCAAAATTGTACTTTCATTTCCAACAAAAATTGCAACAGGGCCCTTTAAGCCTACAGTGCATTATCAAAATTTATTAGGTTCAAAGTGCAATTTTTTATGTTTTGAGGGCCCTTAATGCAATTCTCCCCAAAAAATACAACAAACAATAAAATATGATAAGTGAAGCAATATTTTTGATTGGCCAAAATAAAGCAATATTTATAACATTAATAGTTGTTATCCTATCCCTATTTGATCTTAAAAAATTTAGTATCATAGAAGAAAAAGTATAAATTTAAGAATTTTTGTTATAAAGAGATAATTTTTCTTGAGGTTATTGTAAAATATGATAAGTGAAGCAATATTTTTGATTGGGCAAAAGAAAGTATGCAATATTTTTAACATTAAATGTTGTTATCCTATTCCTATTTGATCTTAAAGATTTTAGGTTCTTTTTTATTTATTGAAAAGGAATAGATTGAAAAAATAAATATAAAAATAAGATGATTGAAATGTGAAGGGAGATAGGTAAACCATATTCATAAGAAAGAAGTGTAATTTAGTTCATAGAATTGAGAATAATGATTAATAAAATTTTTAGAGGGTATAATAATTTTCATATTTGTAGTATATAATGTTAAATTTTATTATATTTATCATGAATAAAAAGATTTATTTCGTTCATTTTTATTTTTATTTTTTAATCAATTCTATTTGACCTTAGTACTATGGAAGAAAAAATACTGTATTTAAGAATTTGGTTGTGAATGGATCCAAAATTCATATAAATTTTTTTTTGAGATTATTCTTTTTTTCCATTTTCTATATATTTTCAAATTTTAATTTTTTTTAAATAAATATGAATAATGACACACTTAAGGCCACGGAAAATAACTCATCATACCCAAATTGGAAGCCCAAGCTCTCCCCTGCTGGCGTCTCCATATTGATCTCCTTCATGGAGGAGTGTTTATGGAGTCTCAATCCCAACTAACTCGTCTCGATGTCAGTCCTGTTGGAACGGATTCTTTCGGCCCGAAAAACTTGGGGCGGAAGACATAATGACACCGAAACAAAAAACGGCTTAGGATGGGACATGGGTTGGGTATTTATATTACCTCACACACACACACACACACATGTATATTAGTTTTATTTTATTGCCTTATTTTATAGATAGTAAAGATATTTTATTTTTTTTCTAAAATTTACTTTTATAATATCTTCACTTTTTTAATATTTTATTATTTATAATTTATGGTTATTTATTTTTGTTTTTTTATTTAAAAAGTTATGTAATTTGATAAATATTATCTTATACTTAACTACTTAATTTTAAGCTTGGCTGGAAAGAAAAATGAAAAAAAAAGAAAAGTGAAAAAAAATTATTTCTCTCACTTGATTTAAAAAATAAAAATAAAAAAGAAAGGAAATTAAGAAAAAAAAGAACACGTGTGATTCACGTGTTTTTCTCTTCAAAAATAGAAAGATTTTGAAGGAAAAAAAACTTAATTTTCACATTTATTTATTTATTTATTTATTTATTTATTTATTTATTTATTTTTGTTTCCGACCTCCTACCTTCTTCCATTTTCGTTCTTTTATTTGGCTATAGTTTTTAAAAAATTTTATATTATTGTATATTAACAAATTTATTGTAATATTTAAAATTAAATAAAATAATTTGCAATTATATTTTTAGTAAACATTTGTAATTATTTTTTTATTTCATTACCTTTTGTCTGCAAAATAGTTTTCTATTAGTAATATATAATGAGAATTATATAAATAATATGTGAAAATTTTAAATTTTATTATATCTAAATATTTTTCTCCAAATAATTATTGTCCATAAGAATTTAACAGCTTTTCCCTTCCCGTCTTTTATCACATCCCTTCACATTTATCTTTTTTTTTTTTTAATTTTCTCTCCTCTCATTTTCATTCATCCTATTTTTCCTTACAGTCAAGTATTATGTAACTTAATTTTTAACTCTCATTATTTTAAATATTAAGGAGATCGTTAAATGATGATACTGTTCCATATCCTCTCTTCTTCACTTATCTATTTTGCCAAGATTTCGGGATGAAACCACCTCCAAAACAGGACACCATATGAGACTAAAATCTAGCTCTGGCCTCTTTTTAAGATGGGACACAGGATTTATGACCATTTTAACCTTATACCATCAGATCTTATGCACTTCACTGCTCACCACGACGGCCTCCAATATTATAATAATGATTGCCAACACATTAACATGAAAATTTTTACCCCTCAAATAACTGAGTCGTTGATTGAATGCAAAATTCTACTATTTGGTGTATATGTACACGCCCACATGCATAGGCTAATTTGTTTACATGTTTTCTCTCCTTTTGTTTTGTTTTGTTTTGTTTTTGTTTTGTTTTTTTTTTTTTTTTTGCGTTGCCTAACCTTTTTCTCTCTTTCTTTTATGGTATTTTGTTGGTTAAACTGCTTTGAATATTATTAATAACTTACTTATGCAATAAAAAATTTGTAATTATTTTTTAAATATTATTAATAACTTACTTTTTTTATTATTCACATATGTCTTTCTTATTTTTAAATTGCTTTGAATGAATAAAATCTCAAACGAATTTAAAATATCATGGATTCAAACAAGTTTCAATCAAGATTTTGAAACTTTTAATTTTGAATTTAATGTAAATATTAATGTGGTTCATTTGAAAATCAAGATCTATCCAATCCCTTTTTCAAAAATTAATTTGAATTAGTTAGTTTTTTTACCAAAATTTGAATTAGTTAGTTATTAATTTGAATTGAAAATTTAAATTAAAATATTACGTTGAATAATTTTACCACGTTTTCATTCCTAATTTAGAGCAAAGTAATATTAGGTAGTTATGCCATAATTTTCAACAATATTTAGTTATTTATCATCAATATTAATCGGCAATTGGTTTTAACAAATTAATGGAAATTAATCGGAAATTTAAATGAAAATAATTATGTCTACAATTAGTAATACGCATAGGCAATATCTCCACCGTGCATGTTACAACTTACAGTATTAAACCCTAGCTCCACTGTCGTCTCCATATCTCCACCGCGCCCTCTCTTCAGTCTCCACCGAAAGAGCACGTTCCTGTTTGCCTTGCTGTCCGTTGCTATCTGCTTCTCTCGCTCGTTGCTCTCAAGGTTCGATTTACTCTTCCTTGCACTCTCTGGTTTGATTTGTGTTCTGAGATTTGGAAATTATTGTATCCAAGGTTGGATTTTTGCTTGGATTATTTCTGTCAATGATTGAATCCCCACACCCCAGTGTTTTGAATGTCTTCTGTTTGAATGATTAAAGCTGTGGTGTTCAGATTTTGACTTCTTTTCTTCTATTGAAGCTCTGAATGCCTTCTAGTTTGATTTTCGCTTGACTTCAAGTTTATTGGACACAAAATTGAAATGTTTAGCTCTGCGCTGTTAGCTGCAGTAGCCACGTGTCCAATGTCCATCATTGTGGTACAGAGGAATTGAAAGAACACGAGTGCATGTACCTTTCTTATTAGACAACCGTAATTAGAGTACAAGCAGCGTCTTTATAGACTTATCTCTGAACGGTCTAATTCTGTTATGAAACAACTAATTCACTTACATCATTAGCTGACTAACAGAATAGCGACTATCTTATAATACTGACACGTAATACCTTGTGTAAATCCTCCTTCAAATAATTTAGCTTCACAGTGACATGTTATTAGATGTCATTGAATCCTGCTTTATAATCATAACAATCTACATGGAATGCTAACTCGGACTAATGTATGTAACAAGAGCTTTGCTTTCGTTACAAAACTAAGAGGTTATATTTAATTCTGGTGTAATTATAATTTAAAGGAGTTTATATTCTTTGTCCTTGCCTTAAAATATATTATGTTCTTTGATTGATATGGGTTGAATGATTGAAGCTGTGGCTCTTTTTTCTTTGTTTTTTGGTACTGAGTTCTAATGGACAGCAACAATGCAACTGAATCTCCTCCTTCTCAAGGACATCAACCTCGACAACAAATTAATGGCATGCTGTTGATTGTTGTTTTGTTAGTTGTATTGTGTTGCTGTTTTCATTGGTTATGTTGTTTTTTCCTATAGACTGGTATTAGTGTGATCATCGTGTGGACTCTGGAGGCTGGATTATAGATGGAACTCTTCGAAATAATTTTTATTTGGATTTATTACAGGTTTTGATTTCATTATAATTACATCTAGCCTTATAATAAGCTAAGCCTATTTAAAGCCTGCAATATGTCGGCTTTGAAGCCTGCTTTGGTAGGCCTTTAAAATGGCTTTAGGCTTTCAGACCTGAGCCTACTTGTAGGCTCAGGCTTGAGGCCCTTGTTACAGAGCGTAGCCTGGCCTATTCTCACCCAGGCTAATAGTGGTGATAAGTTGATGATAGTAATTGATACTATTGTGTTTCTTTTCTTTACTTTTCTTTCGATGTTGAATCATGGCTTATTTTTCTTATTTGTTTTAGATCATTGTCATTCAGTAGAAGTGTCTCTCTAGTCTCGAGGCACAATGAGATTGGAGAAATGCTGGTTCTGCTCTTCAACCATATACCCTGGACATGGAATCCAGTTTGTTCGAAATGATGCAAAGGTATACTATTTACATTCCTCAATTGTATTTTAGATGTCTCTCTTATGTATCTGCTATTCCATTTGTGTAAAAGGTATTGAAAGTACTACTTTTGTATTTACTGGTCTTTTTAGATCAGTTGAATGCAGATGCTTATTTGAAATTGAGGCTCTTAATAGATAGCTACTTTCTAAATCTGTGATCCTCTCAGCTGTGGAAAGTATGAACGTTTTTTCTTCTCACTTCTGATGATAGTGTGTCCCTGTCTCCTTACTGAATACATGGGAAACTTGGCTGTCTAATGACTTCTCTCTGTGATGCAAACAATATGTTAGATTTATGTCTCATAGTTGGATTGTTTGCTTTGATCAAACACGTCATATGGAATAAAATAAACAATGATGGTTTAGTCTCTGTTTTAATGAAACTAAAATGCCAGAAGTTTTTCCTGTAGAAAGAGACAAAAAATGTCAACAAGTTTGTGTACTTTCACAGGCTAAATGCACATAGCACTTGTGGCTTGGGTATTGAGTTACTGGCTAGTGACTTTTGGTCTCTTTGCAGATTTTTCGATTTTGCAGATCTAAGTGTCACAAGAACTTTAAAATGAAGAGGAATCCTCGTAAGGTAAAATGGACAAAGGCATATCGGCGATTGCATGGAAAGGATATGACACAGGTAAAAGCAGCATGCTTTCCCAACGCTGTTTTTGGTATATTATGTCTCTTGTTCATGTCTCCTGGTTCCTAGAAGCTTCAGCACTACTATTTGTTTCCTTAGGATTCAACCTTTGAGTTTGAGAGAAAGCGAAACAGGCCTGAAAGATATGATCGGAATCTTGCGGATGATGTCCTTAAGGCTATTCCAAAGATTGATAAGATCAGAGTTAGCAGGGAGGAGAAACACCACAAGAATAGGTAACTGCTTGATTCGATGTTATTTTTATTGAAATGCCTTAAAACCCTTTGCTTTGCTGACTTTCTTTCGAAAATTTTATAGAATGAAAGGCAATAAGGCTAAGGTGCTCAAGGAGGCTGCAAAGGAGTTGGAGCAGGGCATCAATTTGGTCAAAGCTCCATCTGTACTTCAACAGGATCCATCTCTCACTTTACCAAAGATCAAAGTTCAAGTTTACCAACAGCAAGCAGAGGAAAATCGTCCCATGGAAGAGTGATTCTGGCAATACTGGTTTACTTTTATGGGTTTGACGGTATTCACTTAATTTTGTCTAGTAGGTCTTTAAGGCTTGAAGTATGAATCAAATGGATCATTTTTGTTGATCATCGATGTGGATGATATGATTTTGGTACAATAGCTTTGATAATTGATAATATATTTAGTCTGTTCCCTTGGACATAATACTATTTGATATAGTTGACTATAGTTCATCTATGGGAAAACGTTATCCCAAAGATTGAATCTCCTTGCAAATTAAGGAATTTAGTTCGTCATAACAATAATTTGCTGGTAAGCAACGAGTAATATGTACATTTAGCTTGCCTACAAGCGTTGGGATTTTGGCAAGCAGCACAAGAGTAATACCAAAGCAGGCGATCCTTACAATTGGTGTGTTCGTTTTAGGAGCTTGAACATATGATCACTGATCTTAGGCATCTAATTAATCTTTACGTGTGAAAAACAAAGCTGGTTGCCGATTGTCATTCTTCCATAGATATGTTGTTCAAAAATTGATCATGCAATACCCTGTATGTTGCTCCAATAATGGATAATTACGTGGTTTAATGACTTTAACATATAATTAAATCGTGGTCATAGTCTTCGCCAATTTTGCACATGAACGACCATGAGATACTGCCAGAAGATATACCCTACATGAAAATTCGGCACCATGCAAAGTTCCTGACATTTGCATCTTGGAATCATCTTTTATAACAAGCGAGGATCTAATTGACAGAAAAAAGAAAAGAAAAAAAAAAAAAGAGGAGAGGAGAGGAGGTTCATGCGTACATTTTGAATTTTGAATGTCTGTCCGGATTTTTTAATGCATGCTTTCTGCATACTCTTGTAAATAGATCATGATGACTAGATCATCCTTTAACTTATTGTTTTTTGTTTAATTTTGTGACAGGATGTAACCTTGTAAGTTACAATAGATATTCAAAAGGACTTGGTTTTCTCTATTGCGGCTTCTCTCTGTTATACCTCTACAAATTTGAATCATTCAAATTAAAAACCATGCATGGTAGTTATCCCTCTTCATTTTCGATTGGAGAAAAATCCCAAAACTAGTGAAGAGGCTTCTTCTAACAGGCATCACAACATCTCTTGGATATATCCCTAGAAATTATTCAAGGTTTTGTGTGTGAATCAGCACCATAATCAAAATATGGCTTGGCGTGTGTGATCAATATCAAACACCGTTTTTCTGGCCCCTATGCACCAAAGAATGATCTAGTGCCAGTGTAGCTTGATGCTACTGCCATTCCTGCTGTTGTTGGTTGGGAGAATGCTGAGTGGTCAAGCGCCAAACCCATGTAAAAACTTCTCCTGCCGCGTATTTAACATTCGAAAACACACAAGACTTAGATCCAAATAAGTTGACCATTAATAAAGGAACAACAGTTTTTCAACTTTAACTCAACGCAACAAATGATAAAGCTCCAGTTACATCATTTACTATATTCTCTTCTTGTAGTGCAAGAATTTGTCAGTCATGAATAGGTTTCAGTTGAATACGATGCACCATTCTATCCGTCACTAGACTGTGAGCTTTTTTTTTTTTTTCCCTTTTTGACAATTCATGATTGATTACATACAATTTAATTTAGTTTCTAAAGTTATACTGAGTTGGGGAAAAAAGTCAAACGCATTAACCTTGAGATTATGATACATCAACCAAACTCGTTCGCTGAAAAATTAATTATGAAGACTGATAAGCTATGTAGGGAAAATAGGTGATAAAATAACTCTATTAATAAAAATATAGCAAGAATCTCACTAAATATATTTCCTAATAGCCAAAAGGAGAATCTCCAAGTTTACAATGATAATCTCGTCTATCTCAGACTTCTATTTCCTAAATCTATTTATAAGATAAATGAAGAAGCAATAAATCTGGAATTTAGCTAAAAATCGGGAACACTAACAGACGAGAGCTCCGGCCATCAACTGCCTATGTGGACCACTTTATTGACTGACTCATGTTAACATTTCTCAACAGAACAGAAAATGCAACAGAAATAAATCTAAAAGTAAATAAATCAATCGTGCTTCTGACGTCTCCTCCTTCTGTGATAAGTGACTAACTACCTCTTTTTGTTATCATTGACCCATGTAGATACTAGAGTTCAACCATAAATTGTATGACATATTCATATAAGGTGACTAAACAAAGGCTAGAATCTACAGCCATCATCAAATTGTTTAATTTACCTCACAGCATCTAGCGATTGGTTAGCAATGTGTTTTCTTCTGTTGGAGGAAGTCACCCATATGGCTCTAATGCCGCAAACTGCAGTGACTGCTTTGTCTTCACAGAATATTGCCCCACCATGTGTGTTGTCCGCCGAAGAGGCTCTTTTTTTTTAACTTCTCTTCGAAAAATTATATCCCCAAATTGGAGAGCGGTTGAAAATGAACTCATTTCCTTCTTTCTGCTGCCATCAGAACTTCCAGCAGTTGAGCAAGAGATAACTTTGAATGCCTCTTTGATTGGTTCAGCAACAAGGCACCCAACAATCCTCTGTAGGGAAATGAACAGATAAACCTGCAAATATTTGATCAGTGAATTAACCAAGGAATATAACCAACATAACGTATTTTGGAAGTATTTTAGTGGACTAGGTTGTCAAGCTAAGCAAGTAGCCAAGTACAGGGATAGTATATCCACCTTGCATTGTTCATGGATCATCCATCCAGTTCCAAGGTCAATTTCCATCATTTTCACAACCTCTTCAACCTGTCAGCAATAATGACTTCTCCATGAAATGTAAAGTTCCAATTAGAAAATATGAAGAAAAGTCTTGGGAATTTAAATTATATATAGATATATATATAAGGACAATACCTTCTTTTTTTGAGCTGGAGGGTCACTCTGTAAGACCAAAATGATTCTACCCGCATTGCCGTTAAGCATATGAACAACCCTTTCGTTAGTCCGTCCCTGCATAAATAAAATAAGTATCCAAATGAAGTCCAGCCAAGCGGCAACCCTTGTTCAAGAAGAAAATTTTAGTCTACTTACTTTAAATGGAAGCCCTCGAGTATAAGCTGTGTGAATTTTTTTGTGTGCTTTTTCATCCTCTGCATCACCTGGAGCAAATCTGACTCCGCAAATAGAACAATTGTGTAACAGGAAATCAGATTGACCAAAATCTAGATGGAACTGAGCATAGCTCCTCTTCTTATGCTTGATAATCGTCCTTCCTGTTATAACGGATTCTTGTTTTGAACATGATTCAACTGGTATGTTTTTCTTTGTTTGGTGAATTTCCTCTAAATTGTCTTGGATTCTTCTTTGACCAAAAAAGACAATAAATCACTTAAAAACAGTTAGGCACCTTCAGAACAAGAATGTCCTGTTTGGTGCAAAAGAAATGGTGAAACATATATATTTCCATAATATAAATAGTGGAATTAATTTTAGTTTCTCAAAATTCATAGTACATAAACAGGTTCTGAAAAACCAAAACAGAAAAATAGTTTTCAAAAATATAAAATAAGGAAACTGACAATTCTATCAAGGGCATACATTTTGGGATCCAAACGCCTTTGCTCATAGGTATTGAAGATATGATGCTCTTTCTTCTCCCAAACTGCTAGTTCGTCGTCATCACTGTTGATAGCCAAAGCTGGGCCAATGGATTTGGGCGCATGAGCCGGAGATTTGAAGAAAGCGCTGATTTTAGGCTGCGTGGAAGCACTGATGCTAGTATCAAAGTGTTCCTCACTGATTTTTGATAATTCATTGAAATCCTTTAATCGGGTGAAAGGCTCAGAAGAGGTTCAAGAGAAATATATATAATAAGGTTGCCTTGAAAGGCTCAATCGATCCAATTGAATGCCTGAAGATAAAATTTCCATGTATGATCAGAAGACAAAATCGGAGTAACTTAAGATATTGGAACATTACCATGACCACGGTATATAAAAGCAATTCGATCCTCTTTTGACTTTTAAAATACAGTTTATAAAAAAAAAATTCTCTTTCAGATTTTTTGACAAGAGAATTTAAATTTTTAAATAGATAAAGAATTATCGAGGACAGAATTTATGCTATCAAGAAATAAAAATAAAAAAATTAATTTGTTAATTATTTCACAAAAGAAAAATAGATAGGTAACCAAAAAATTAAAGAAAGAATAGAAGAAATAAAAGAAAAATTTGAAAATGACATTAGGGCAAATTGTACTGGCAGCAGATAGAAAATTTAAGTTCGAGTCATGTTGAAAGACACTATCCTTAAAAGCTATTCCGGCATACTTATTTGTTAACATAGCAACTCTTTAAAATTAAATACACTCATCCTGCAAAATAGTTAGGGCAACATAAAAGTAAAAACTAAGCAAAAAATAAATTTAGGAACACAGCATATGAAGGAGGAAGAGAGAATCGACTCGAAAGTTCAAGAGCTAGGCATTGAACTCATGGGACTCCTCAATATTTATAGACTCGACACGGCTGCACGCACAATTGGCCTCCACACACAATTGAGGAGTAGTTTGAGAAACATAAAGCCGCATAATGCATAATTATTCGAAGGTTTTTGAATGTTGGCACATTAAGAAATTAGTTTTGGTTTTTAATTTAGAAATATCCTCTCAATGGACATTCAAAAATGCCAAATTAGAACTCTGAATCTCTGGCACATTTACGTTGAAGAATTTGAATTCTCTTAATATCCTCTTAACATTGGCACATGTCAAATTCAAAGGTTTCCAAATAAGCATGTTTTAGAAAATTAATTTTAAAATTTTGCAAAAATAATAAAAAGAACCTTAATGTTTCTTTAACTCATGCACGGGAGGTGGCAAGTCAATTATTTTCAATTATAATTACCTTGTGAAGGTCTCATGTGTGTGAATATACTTCTCCAAACCCATTTATTTGCCCACTTTATTTCTTAGCATGAACACACTAAGAAATCTCTTCATGTGAGTAATGTAGGACTTGTCATTTTGACACATCACTTCAAATATTACAATAGATTAAAGACAAAAAAAGAGGACAACCAAAATTGCAACCAAATAAAAAGAATAGTAAATGATGAAAAGAAAAGAAAATGAGGTGATGAAAGAAAAAGAAAAATATGACCGACAAAATGGCAAGAAAGTAAAAAAAAAAAAGGGAACAAAAGAGACAAAAGAAGAAAGCAAATCAAGGGAAATATGTGGCTAACA